TGCGTGCGTAAAGGGTGTGTGTGTGTGTGTGTCCTCTGGTGTGTGTGTGGCGGGAAAAAATTCCCCGAGGGCGTGTGAAACCACTCGAAATATCTCCGAAACCCGAGTTTTTTTTAAAATAAATCGGAAAAAAATCATCGGTGGGAAATCACGAGAGGAATCGATTGCAGCACTTTATTTTTGAATCGTACGGTTGGATTGTCCCAAAGAAACTAAGCAAAATACCCTCCATTATCCGTTTTTTTGCCCATGACTCCGTTATTTTTTGTCAAATTGGAAATCGGAAAAAATTCATCGGTGGGAAATCACGAGAGGAATCGATTGCAGCACTTTATTTTTGAATCGTACGGTTGGATTGTCCCAAAGAAACTAAGCAAAATACCCTCCATTATCCGTTTTTTTGCCCATGACTCCGTTATTTTTTGTCAAATTGGAAATCGGAAAAAATTCATCGGTGGCAAATCACGAGAGCTGTCCAAATCCGGTCGCAGATTTTGTGTCTGCAAAAAACACCGCCCTCCAGAAAGTAAGCAAGATTTCTTGAAAATCTGAACATATCGAGCGAAGGACGAAAAAAAAAAAAACTCCGTACGAAGATGCGCCTTGAAACGTCGATTTACGCGGTATTTCCAGATTTCGGAATAAGTACCCCCACCCCGAGAAAAGTGCACCTTTGTGAAGGGGAAAATATTGTGAATATTTGCCCGAACGGACCATGTGAGTGATCGTTTTCCACCACACATTGCGAAATCAATTCTTCCTTCCGAGAGATTCCAACTCCAGCCTGCAACTACAAACTAAGGTTTTGCGAGGTTAGCCCCCAGACCACCGGGGTGGGCGGCTGCCTACAGGATGTAAAGCTTGGCCAGCCAAGAAGCTCACTTTCGTTGTTTCGCGTTTCACGCTGCCAATTCCACGAGTTTAGGCTTGAAAAATTGTGTCTACTCTTAGAAGATAATGGAGGATGCGCCGGTGCCAGAATTTTTCGAATCTGACTTGATTTGGGTATTAAATGCTCAATTGGCGGTGAAGTAGGATATGCCTCCGGTACTGAAATCAGTATAAAAAAGTTCTACAGATTAAGCCGAAATTTGATGTGCACTTACCTGGGAGCATTGCGAGAACAATCATGGTACTAGTTACAACGCTCAGTTCATCTTCCATGAAAAGTTATGGGCTCGTGAACGATCCTCCACACTACTCAAGATACTGAGGAAAAGTGAGAAGATCGCGATTTCCGAGCCGGTTTTACGAACTTGAACCTGATATTTTGATATGTGATTGGAAACGGTCTTACCAATGCCCCCCGAGTGAGGTGCGTTTTTTTTTTAAGCCACAAAAACCCCTATATTGGTATTGTCAGATATTGACTATAGGGATACCTCACCAAAAGAAAAAGAAAAAAGCACCTCACTCGGGGGCATTTGTAAGACCGTTTCCAATCACGTATCAAATTTTCAGGTTCTAGTTCGTAAAAACCGGCTCGGAAATCGTTTCGAACCGTTTTGTTGGCTGCTTGGCTGGCCCAGCTGGTAGGTATGGGTGTACAGAGACTCAAGAGGGACATTGCTTCAAAGACCGTCGAATAGCCAGCCCACAAGGGATTCTCATTTGGGAAATACCCGTATTTGGTCACCTGACTATCCAAGGCGACCCCCCGGAAAGTGTGTTAGCAACCCCAAGATACCCGTAGCCAAACCAACGGAATTCTATCCGCCGGGATCTACCTACCAACACATATTTCCATGATCGGCTCATCTCGCCCATAGGTAATCTCCACCAAAATTCAAGGCGTGCATATCGGTGCGCAGCTTACACGGATTTTTGGTGACCGACGCCCCCCCAGCCCGGCCATATCACAGGCGACCTTCCGCTCCCCACGTTATTGACTTCTAGCCTACCCTACCACAGCAAACACTCCTGCGGGCACACATCAAAAGACGAAATCAAAGGCAATACACCAACTGAACGTCCCACGCTTGCGGTTTCCCTACCATAGCTGCTTCTGTGCACGTTGGCGGTGACAAGGACAGTCCCAATACTCAACACCGTCATGTCCCACCGGGAGCTGGGTCCTTGCGGCATTGCCTCACGAACCTACACAATAAAAAACTACCACATTACGCTAGGCTGGTCGTAAATATCCAGCTGTCAAAAACTTGCACCGAGCACCCGTTGTCCTGCATGATTCCCTTGCCTTGCACGGTACGAGGCGTCAGGACAATACAGAGTAGCAACGTCCCGCTTCTGCTCGTCGGCGCAATCCCAACAAGAGGACGCAAGTACGTCAGAACACCCCCCCCCCCCCCCCAATAG